CAGTCGACCTCGGTACCGCCTCTGACCTTCTTCCACGTGATGGGAATTTCCAGCAGCTCATACAAGAAGAGCCACATCAGGATCTTCTTCCAGAAGCGAGCGTCCGTGGCTGCGAGCCAGCCGTCATCTGCGTAAATGAGGTATAGCAGCCCCATACGCCTGCCCATGACCCTATGGCATGACCTCACTGCCACGCCAATGACGCGACCGAACCAGTAGGCCGCACTGGCGATGCCAAAGATGCCTCTGGTGTGCGCATAGACATCCCCGGTGTCTTCTCCTGGCAGTCTGAAGGCCTGCATGCCCCAGTCCTCCTCTCACGCCGGGATCAGTTTGTGAGCTCTCGCGGTGTCTTAGAGGACAGAGAATCTCACCACCTTGCGCTTCTCCCTTCTCTCTTCTTCTACCTGGCGAAGCACAGCTGCAGCGTCATCTATCAGAGGGAACCTCATCCGATCACGAACCCGGATACGACGATTGCCGTCAAGCTCCGGCAACTGCCATATAGATGCTGGCTGCATTTTCACGCCATCCTCCTCCCGGTAAATGATCCCGAGATCCTCGCGGTGTTCGCCGAACACCAGCTCCAAAGAGCCATCTGGTGCAAAGGGGCGCTGCTCTAGCACATGGAGGACCTTGATCGTGAAGCGAATCAAAACGTTGCCCAGGTTGGCATCTTTCGTACGCCTATTGGAGAGCCATGGAAAGCCCCACGGGTGCTGCTTGGAACAAATCATAGGTGGCCCCCTGCAGTTTGCTCCTCGAACTAGTGGCGAGCACCACGTGGTACTCTCCCTGAGCAAGCTCTTGCAGCAACTTCTGCTGCAATCCATGGTCTGCTATTAAGTTTAAGTCCCACTCTGGTGAGTTCTGGATGTCTATCTCATGCACTTGAAATTGAATGCCTGTGCCACTGCTCAACTTCTGGAGAAACGCTGCAATGGATGCTTTGCGGGTGGCCCCGCTGAAGAGGTACAGCACATGGCATAGTCGCGTGCCCCTCGTCGTGCCCTGCTGCAATGGAGAAGGTGGGGCAGCCTTCTCCTTGTGGCTTCCTTTCAGGCGGACTTGCCGCCTTCGGCCCCGCCACCAGCCGTGTCCTTCTTGCCAGAGCCATCGCAAGCGTGCATCGGGTGGTTCCCGAAGCAAACCTGGCAGACACGCAACCGACCACAGTTGTAGCGACATCGATCTCTTGGATTGTTCCACTTCCAGCAAATCTGACGGCCATCTGGCGTCTTGTCATGCACTTGGCGGCCCTTCTTGTTCTTGCCCTTGCCGCCTCCTTTCTTTCCTTTCCCCTTTCCCCGTGGCTGCTCCCATGGATCATCTGCCCACGGGCGCCAGTTTCTGCCAGGGCTGTGGGATCGCCTGGACTCTGCTCCCCTCGATGATGATGTGTTCGGCCTTGTGGGGGTACTTCAACTGAGCCTGCGAGCATTGCCATTCGCTTCCGGAATTCTTCCGGATTTCTGGGCTTGGAGCACCCCTTCTTGATCTTCAAGGCGACTGTGCTCTTCTCAACTGTGGCCCCCAAGACATCCGCCTCGGCATCCTCTCTGCCCAAGAATTGCACAAGGCTCATATTCTTTAGCTCACCCTTTTCGACTTGGTCGAAGATTTGTTCAAGGGTGGAGGCCGCCGGTGTGTTCCGATCCTCCAACTTGATGTTGAAGACCTGCTGAAACCTCACCATGCGCTCCTGCACTTCCACCTTGCTAAGTGATGCTTGCCACGCCGGCCTCTGCCTCAGCTTTGTTTCGCGCTGCTACTCTTGTTGTCGCCGACTCCCAAGCATCGACCAACGAAGCTATCTCCACAACGTCCCGAGTCTCATCAAGCGCAAGGGCGTCCACGCAAAACTTCCTCGTCGCGGCCCAGTCGTCCGCCGCCGTGCTCATGCGGCTGACGCTGCGGACTCTTGCCACCGAGAGCTTTGCTTGCAACACTTCCTCCACCTCCTTCACCTGGAGCAAGCCATGCAAGTCCGCGTCCAACAACGCTATCGCATTGCGGCTCTCATCGGCGTCATGGCCAACGCCGGCCATTCTCACTCCACACTAGCCATCACTCCGCCAGTGTGTTCCGCGTGCCCTCCTTCCTTGACCTCAAGCCGAAAGGTGCTCATCGGTCTTCGACGAAGGTCACGTCCATCCATGCTCATTCTCATGCAGCTGAACTAATGCGCAACAAGCTCACAAGACCTGACCTTCGAACCTTTACGCCTTTACAACCACGACCGACCGCAAGCGCAATCTCAAACAGCTGAACCTATCTACCTTCCTAACGCCTTACAACACGAGACTCGACCGACTCCCAGCCGTGATCGATCATGGGGGGGGGCCCGTTCCCTCTTCTACACACACGTTAGAGAACCCAAACAATGCGACATCTCTTGTTCCCCCCCTTCTGCCCCTGAGGCACCGTTTCATGTCGCACTCTGCTCGATGCGGACTTGTCATCACGGGACGCAACCTGTACAAAGTCTCTCATCCCGCGCTGTCCTCTTCCTCTTCTGACCCCGACAGCTCGGAGGACGATACATCCCCGGAGGTCTCCTCTTCGAGTGCATCTGCTGCCGCGGCCTCTTGTCGGCCGAAGCACTGTTTGCAAGCCCTATGGTACTCCGCTGCGCTGGGAGCTTCTTCTCCCAGCACCTGGATCGCGGCTCTGTCTCCACAGTCTCCGGGTCGTCCTCGACATCCGCTCGCTGTCGGCTCCACCTTGACCTCCACAACGTCTTGCGGCTCCTCCACTAGCACCACGGGCCCTGTGGTGGTCCAATTTGGTCTCCTGCAGAGCTTTGCCGCGTCCTCTCCAGGCATGAAGGTGATGAGCCTCATGGATTGCTCGTCGCATTCCTCCTGCTCATAGCCAAGATCCCTCATCCTCTGCTCGACCAGTTGCACGACCCTCGTCTCATCGAAGGGATCCGAGTTGGCCATGTTCTCACGGACGTAGAGCGCCAGGACTTTCTGGCACCTCAAGACATTCGTCCTGACGTTTCGCTCATACCCTTCATCAGCCGAGGGCTTCCATCTGCCGATCATCTTCCTGACGCCCTCCGCGATTCGGGCCGCTTGCGCCCAAGTGCGTATAGTCGCGCGCTCACTGTGCTCCGTCCATAGCACACCCACTCCTGGCTTCAGGACGTGCTTCTTCTGATCTGCCCTTCGGATCTTGATCTCGTTGAAGAGCGCCTGAGACATCGTGGATGCGATCGAGTCCACCATCTTCCGGATGAAGCCATTCTTGTTGGCGTTGGGCCAGGGCAGCATGAAATCTCTGCCCAGCATCCCTGCTTCTGCTCCCATTGCTGTCCATAGCTTCCAGCCGACCTTGTTGATGTAGAATGGAAGAAGCACCACTCTCTTCCCTGGCCCGGACGTCTTCGACCGATTGATGACTCCTTTCAATCCCCAGTCGAACATCTCCATAGTTCTATTCGGAGTCCCCTTCGCGTCATCAAACCTCATTCCTGACCAAAGCTTGATGAGCCTGAACCACGCGTAGATGCGTGGGTAACGCGGGTTGTCCTCGTCCAGGATGTAGGATTCCCAAGCCACAATCAACGCGACCGGTAGCAGCAATGCCTTGCGAGCCCTTTTCGACTCTACTGACTGCAGCGTGTGCGCTGCCTCCTCTAAAGCATTCTTCACTGCCGCGGACCTGCATATCTGATCGTGCTCCGGAACTTCGCCGGCGTGTTCGAACATCAACGTCTTGAAGACGGACTCCGGGTAACTCCTTGCACATGGCTCTTCAACCATCGCCTCCAAGAACTCCGCGAACTGCTCCGAGGTCTGTGGCCAGCTGTAACCATACACTACGTTCAACCAGCGGGAGGCTCTCGCCCATGTCTTGACATGCTTGCGCAGCGTGTTCGGCCTCCTGCCTTTCGCCACCCTGATCATCAGGGAGTCTTCGCTTGAGCGTAATGCCACCGGAAGTTTGGCGTCCTTCACGATGGTTCTGACCTCCTTCAACCATCTGTCACGCTCCTGCCTCGCTGCCAGCTCCCTCATCGCCACGTCCGATGAAGCTATATGCAGTTTCAGCCCAAGCCGTGTTGGCCATCTGCTCCTCTTGCCGTTTCCCACCAGCTGTACCTTGGATCTGACATCCTCAGCCACGTGGTCTCCGAAGATCTTCTGTCGCACCGACCGTTGGTGAGCCACATGCGCTTCAAGTAGATCTTGTCCTCCTCGCTTGGCATCTATCATATGCCGGGTGCGCGCCCTCATTGCCGCACGTCTCACCATATCCCTCAGGACATCCTTGTCCACTTCGAAGGAGGCATCCTTCTGCTGCAAGCGCCACACCAGCGCTTCCCGAAGATCACCGCCTGCTCCATCTAGTGTTGCGAGGCGGGTCACATTCCAGCCTCCTTCCTCCAAGGCGCTGATCTGACTGGCAGTCATCCCTGCAAGACTGCCAATCAGCGCCACCTCATCTTTCTCGTTCATGGCGGCGCGAGCTGGTCCCCACCTCCCTGAAAAGACAAGGACGCTCGAGCCGCATCTCGACGGTCGTTTCGTGACAAACCGTGTCTTACAGACAACTATTCATATATTATATATATGCATTGTCATGCCTCCTGGGTTGCCCGGCCTTCCTTCTTTTTGGCACAACAGGGTTTAGCCGTGGCTCTTTTTGACGCTCCGCACGCAATGGCCAAACCTGGGAATAAGAAGTTGACATCACCAGGTCTCCATGCAAGGTGTGCAGCATGGCATTGCCGCAGTGCCCAAGACCATGCTGGCAAGGCACCCACGACTCATCTGCCTGATCAAGGCCAAGTCTGTGTTACCACATCAACAGGTCAGGTCATTCTTTGCCTGGCGTGAAGCGCCAGAGGACACCATCCATAGCGGTAAAGCTCAACAAGCGTGTGCAGTCAGTACTTTTTTGTATCATGTAGGCCTGTTTCTTGGAGAATCTGTGTCTGTTGCAGGAAGCTGCAGCTTTAGGGAATCATGCTGGATATTGGTACACCTATCCGACATGGATGCAATGATTGAGCCAGCTAAGCAGACCATAAAGCATCACATCTATTCAACTCTTGGAAAGCTGTATATTCCTCTTACAGCAAACGAGTCAACAAGACTCACTCTATTTGTCCAGTCGAGCAACGTGGCACTTTTCAACTAATCGCAGGGATCTCACCAGAACTGGACTTGAGCAAGCCTCCATCTGTTCCCAGCAATTCCTTGACCTGCGAGAACCAAAAGCACGAAACAAGAAAAAATATGCCTAGTGTCCAGAAAACACAACCAACTGCAGAAGCTTGTTGCAGATCCCTTCTGAGAACATATGCTCTGAGAGTTCCGCTTGTTGAAGTCGCTCTAAGCGCGTTTGGGAATCCCGGCGCCTTAAACTCGGGCCGAAAAGCCCCTTAAAACGAAGGTTTATATATTCAAAGCAATTACAGTATCATGCAAACATCCTCAGAGCTCCAAGTCCACGAATGACAAAAACTTCCAGCATTGTATTGTCGTGGCCCATGTAAAATATGCAAAACAATGAAAAGCTTCAGCCTGTCGAGGGCTTGCTCCAAAGTTCGCCTAGCCTGACAGCCCAATGTGTGATCAAACAAGCTGCAAAGTATGCTGCAAAGTGTTCGAAGTCCGGCGACCGGAGACGAACTCTTTAGCTTTCCTCCCATTCACGCTCTCCTTTCTTTTTAGCGTGCTCCTACTTAATTAAGTAGGCGCCTACTTACTTATATAAGTAAGGGAGTAGTTCGCTACTAGCTACTTAAGCTACAGGATAGCTCACGCTTCTTCAAGGAAGCTCACCGCGCCTGAGGGCGGGGGAAAGCTTCCTTGAAGAAGTGCTTGCACTAATGATTTGGTTCCTCGATTTTAGGGAAACTTGACTCAAGTCTATCCGTCCATCCACGAAGCCAATGGCCAGCCTTCAGAAGCTCATTACGATGGCGGCTCATCATCTTCAGGGCATCTTGAGTGTCACCTAAAAGGCAGAGCTTTACAAGAGCTTCGCATGCTGTACTTGCTGCAAGTTGCACTTCAGAGTCTCGACATGCCTTAAAGTGTCTTAACATGAATGTCTTAAAACTTGTCTTCTTCACCAGTCCCTACCCCCCCGGTCTCAGAATCCCCTCGCTGCCTTGCTGCTTCAAGCTCAAGGCCTGAAATGCCAAATGGCACGAAAACACTCAATGTTAAGAAATGCAAATGTCATGTGTGCTTTGTTTCCTCCCACTCATGGCCTCCTCTTTGGTGGGCCCGAATTTTGCCACTTCCTGCGTTGTATTGTGTAAATTACAACATGTTGGGTCAACAGAGCGGGGGGGTTAGCCCCACTTTCAACACTTGCAAGCTAAGGCCATGGGTGGGGGGTTCGGTGGGAAGTGAGAGGAATTCGTTCGTTTGGGTAGTAGAACACGATGGTGATGAATTGTTGATGAGACCGGAGGAGGCTTGAAAAAGGATTCTGCAGAAGAGTTGTTTCATCGTCTTGGTTTTGGGGAAATCCAAAACGATCGAGCAAGGGGTCGAACAGTGAGATTTTACTGCAAAATACAATAGATTTGACACCTGGATCATTCTGCTGCGGGGTTAACCCCCCCGTGGATCCAACATGTTGTCCAAATTAACGTGAGCTTCTGTTCATTTCTCAAAACAAAATACACCAGCTGAGGTCCAAAGAGCTAGCAGCTAGCATTCACATTAATGTATATAGTATATCCAGCAGGGCTTGGCAATACAAAACAAAGACTATATTAAAGCAAGTTACATTGCCTGTGCATGAACCAAAACACCTCTTGCTTTCGGGAACAAGGTCAGCTGTATGCGCGATTCAACATGTCGGTGAGTATGAACGCCAATCTTAGTGGGTATCAAACAAGAACAGTCAAAGAAAACGAGCAAGGCCTAAGAAGGCACTTCGGGTCCAGCCTCAGCCTCACCTGACTGCCTCGCACACCCAATCACGCGGAGGTTGACTCTCATTCGGGGGAGCTTTCAAACGAGCTCTCACTTTCACCACCTATGAAAGTAATAACCTCCGCAACAGCTTGTGTCCAAAGAATCTTCAGACAGTTGCCTAGCAATCTCAGTATCAAAAAATGAAAACTAGCAGTGTGCTGCTGAGACCTGCTCTCAGCGGTAAGACGCAGCGAGGCTTTCATCTCCTGACTCACAAATAGTTACGGACTCACGCATTTGAGCAAAATGAGCAAAAGCCTGCTTCAAAGAAACTGCAGGAGTGAAAATATGTTGACAACAAGTGATAGATTTGAATCTCAGTCAGGGTTTCAGAACTTAGCCTTCTTGACCTTCTCCACTTGCCCAGTTCGAATCATGAGCCGTAGCCGTTCCTATCGATGTTGAGGCAAAAGCGAAAGCTACAGAGTCTATTTTCTCCCTGCCTTGCACTGCAACTGCACCTCCAAATGCAATGCTGCAGCCGCCTCGCTGGCGTTTGCACGTTGCTGCAAAGCTTTCCTGCAGTCGCTTGGAGCTTGGCTTCCCCATCACCACTCATGTGTCTTGTTGCTTCCAAACAGTGCTTTGGCACGTCTGGGCTTCTTGCACCTGTCACTTCCGCAGTTTCAAATCACCAAGAGGCCTCCGCCGCGCAGCCTCTGTGTCCCAGGTTACATTGGAGACTGGAAAGTGCGGCAGAACAAAGGAAGTGGGCTCCTGACATGCTTGCGTTCACAGGCATCTGTCATTTTCTCAAACAAGCAGGACCTTGGATACATGTCACATCTTGTTCTGACTGAACTCATCATCCTCATCATCATCATCATCATCGTCGTCATCATCATCACCGTTATCACCGTCATCGTCATCGTCATCGTCACAAAGATGCTACTAGTAGCCAACAATGATGGGAAGAGTTGTGCTCCTCGTGCCAGGCCGGTTGCCCTTTCTCTCGTTTTGCCATGGAGTTGTACTCCTTCCAGAAAAGGAGTGTATGCTTCAAGTCTTCTGGCCTAGCAGTCGAAGTTAGAATGAGCATAGGCCATGGAAGCCTAATCCACGGCTTGGCAGGAAGCGTGTGATTGACTGTTGCACACTCTACACTTCAATCACCTTCTCCTACTTTAGCTGCTAATGTTGGACCAAGCTGCTCATTATCTGGCGCTGGACTGTCACCATTTGGCTCCTCCGCCTTTCAATCAAGGGCTGGTCAAAAGATCTATTGGACCGCTTTTAGCTTGTCTTCAGAGAAACAATATCCAGGGTGCGCCTTCGGCGGCTGCTCAGGGGTGCCCTTAAAAAGCTCCTTTGCCTAGAACAATTGAGGCAAATGCCACAAACCCATTCAAAATGCAAGCAAAGCTTGCCTTTGCAAAGTGATGAGCTCGGCAACGCCTTCGAGAAGGCTTAGCCTGCAGAAATGAACAACATGTAACGAAGACAAACTACATAAATCTAGTGTTTCGAGCCACAAAATCATCGGCCTTCACAAAAATGATGCGCGGTGACGTGTTGGGGCTTGGCAGCTTTGCCTTGCGCATCGATTCCTTCACACACCCCACACCCCAGCGCCTATCCACCGCTTCACTTCCGATCAACAATGATGATGACAGCAACAATTACCTTGATGCTTGGGATGAGGAACAGGAGAAAGAGGATGGGATGAGGACGAGGATGACCCTCGGGCGATGAATAGAATGGAATGGAGAAGTTGTTGTCCAGATCCACGGCATGTGGATGGAGCAGATTTGATGCTACATATGTCATGTGGGAATCGAATCCCCTGCAAGTATCCATCATTGTCGTGCATGTGAGAGGAACAAAAGCGGTCTGGCGGTCTGGAGCGAATGAGATACTGTTTGTGTTTCTGCTCTTTCTTTTTGCTGCTGCTGTTGTCGTGCTTGTCTCTGTACCTGTATATACCTGTAACTTGTTTTGTTCTGTCACTGTCGCTTCTTGTGTTCCTGCTTTATTGTTGTGTGACGTCACTCAACCTCGCCGACTGAGCTTCAAGTTCTCCAGCTTGCAGGTGCAACAGGTCAGGCATGCAGCATCCTGCGTTTACAACAGGCTGTTCCTGAGGAAAGTCCCACAGGGCTCAGCATGTTGATGGATCCTTTTCGTTCTACCTTCTGCCAAGCCTCTCGAGAAGCTGCCGGATCCAAGTTAGGCTCCTTCTCCCGCTCTGCGCGCAATGACAAAGCCTCCGTATTTCGTCATGGAGTCCAAGCCAGCGAAGCTTAGTCAGAAATCAGAGTCCAAGTTTTTCAGCACACAGAATCATCTGAGAGTCTAGGAGCGTAGCCCAGGATCCATTCGTCACCTGTCCGTTTCGATCGGAAAAAAGAAGAGATGTCCTTGATTTGACTGTGATAGTATCTACAGCTGTCTAAAGTGGTTATGCTGACCACCTTCCACGGTGCGTTGAAGCGCGCTGATGCCCCGAAGATTGTAGGAGACATGGCAAAATGCTCTGACAAATTAAACCCTACTTTCTGCAGCTTATTGGCTAGTAGGTACTAGGTACAGTGTCCGGTCCCGATCACTCTCCGATTTGGTCTGTCATTTGCACCTTGCCATGCAAAAGAAGTCCAAGGGCTAAATTGGCTCTTCCATTGACTGTCACCAACACTGTGAGGATACAGTCTCTTTCTGGAGGCTCCAAACATTGGACCGTGTACGGTTCAAGCCACCTGCTTGATCCCAGGTTCAGCCAGCAAACGTGTTACAAACTAAATTCTGGTCCGGACCCCGACTGAAATGTGACAACTGTGACTGCTGACACAACGAATCTTTGGCCAAGATCTACAGCTTCCGGCACCACACCGCACTGTGTTTTGGCTGGTCAGTGGTCTTGGGCGTTACCGAATGGCCTGAGCAACTTGGATCAATTGCTGCCGAAAGCTACAATAGACTCAAAAAACGCACACTTGTCTCACAATAGTTATGTACACCGGCATAGACCCCGGATGGTATTGTGGATCAAAGAAATTACAAGGCATACTTTCGTGGTTGACTTGTCTCTTAAAGCTGCCCACCGGATCCTCAATGCAAAACAAGTAGGGCTAGATTCAGATATGGATTCCAGGCCAAAAAAATGCAATCAGGGAGGCAAAGTCTGGTCAGGCAATTATGTACACTGGCATAAGCAGCAAATAGCCCCTTATCCGGGAAAACTCACCACGATTTGCTGCGTGCTCTCTAAATAACCACCGGGACGGCAGAATGCAATAAAGGCCATCAGGGCATGCTCCAAAGTCACAGGGCCAGGATTGAAACTTGCAAAGACCGCAGGGCTGGGTTCCACAATTCCAGAGTCCGCTTCACGGTTGTTGGGTTCGAGGCGAAAAGCTGCACGAAAAGCTGCTGCCCAGTCGCAGGTTGCGAGGCATTTCCATCCGAGCTCTCAGATAGCCTGGATGGAATAACACCCAAAGGCATTTCAGCCGGCCGTGCCACTGAAAAACATATGAGGGAGAGTCTGGCAGCCCCTCGACCCACTGCAAAACTCAAACTTAATGGAAGTGTGTAGCACCCTGTTTCTGTGCAAGAACATTGCGATTACTGTTCAAGGATGATTTCTGTCTCTATGTCATTCCCAGTCCATACATGCAACTATTCCAGCACATGCTCAAACTGATATTCATGAAAGTGCGACTGCAAGCCCTCAAGAAACAAACAAGCATCTGAGCACACAAGCATCACATTGTTGGAGAGCACAGCTCTGCCATTGATCCTTGCCGAGCTGTGCCTGGGCACAGCATCCCACAGCGCCATGACCTCAAGTGTACATGGAGTGGTTATGACACCTTGCAGTCGGGACGCCTTATTTACCCTTTTCACTGCCCAAAAGGTCGTGGTTTTTCCAAAACCACACCAACTCCTAGCAAAAGCTCCTGGGAGTTCAGGCATGAGGTTGACCACGTCTGCCCACCTGGCTTCAGATCGACTGTGTGGGAACCTGCTTCTTGCAATCGCGGACTAAAAAAGTCGTTACCTTCACTTGGTAGACAGCAAGCAAACAATCAAAAATGGCACACCACATAACGGATGAAGTGTGCTCTTTATGACGATACCATAGCATACCATACCCATACCATATTGCCATACTGGCCTCCAGCATGGTGGCAGTGAAGTCGAATTTGTGTCCTTCAAACTTTGGAGCTGAACATGGACAAGAACAGGATGCACATGCGGTCCACACGCAATCTCCCACAACAGTAATTGCGTGGCATACATAACGCATCGAGAGTCAGTATCAGTACCGTCCAGGCTGCAAAATGCTCAAAAACTCCTCGCTTCACCTTTCTCATTTTAGAGATTAGCTCTGCATTTTCTTTGTAGAACAGCACCTGGGCTTTGTCGCAGGATGACAAACTTGGGATTTGGCCACGACTTGCCTGGTTGTGAAATTCAAACAGTCTCGTGACCAAGGCTCGCGCCAAATCTGCAGATTCGCGTTTCATAGGAAGAGGCTGAGGCGGATCCATGTCCACCTCAAGGCAGAACTCACGCGCAAGCTTGCATGGGCCGGCTCACTTACTCGTGTAGCTACTACTATTGATTATATACTATTGTGCTTCATGTAGAACGAACCTCCAATGTGAGTGCCTTTTCCCCATCCTTCTGTGCATCTCTTAACGATATGGCGTGTCCAGGAAATGAATATTGCAATGCGCTCACCGCAGCGCAACAAAGCGTCCACCTACGGACAAAAAGGGCACTATGCCTTTCTCACCAGCTGGCTCGAGCCCCGCCCTTGCGGAGAGTACACAGCTATGTGCACAACCGCCATGCTTGCATTCCCCACACTTCCTGGCCTTTTTGGCCGGTCACAAAAATCGGTCATGCACGGCGTCATCCCACGTGTTGCTCCTGGAGCTCTCTCAGCTTCTTCTCCATGGCCTTCTTGTGGACTCTTCTTCCGGACTCAAACTTCGGGTCATGCACCAGCCGCCACTTCTGCTGCTGGCTGAAGAAGTGGAGGATCGTCTTGCGAGCGCCAGCCTTGGTGAGGCTGTCCGCCAGCTGCGCCAGCCCATTCACCCATCTCAACTGGGTCCCGGCTTTCAGAGCCGAGTTCACCGCAATGGTGAGCTCGTAGCCACTGCGGGAGTCGCGAAGCCCATGCAGCGAGGAAAGGTTCCGCGTCATGGCATCAAAGATGCCGCGGCTATCCATCACCAAAGCGCCTCCAACCTTCCGCACGGCCACCGCCAGGTTGCTCCTGTCGATTGGCTCACCATCCAGCTCAGCCATCATGAGTCTGACCATGTGGTTTTGGTCCTCTCCCGTCGTGATGGCCTGGACTTCAGCGCCATTGGACCCGAGAACTTGTCGAGGGGTCCGACCGGACTTCCATTGCACCAGGGCGAACTGGACTTCTTCGCCCTCCAGGGCCGCCGCCGGTCCGATGCCCGTGAGGACACCGAGGGTGCTTGACCTGTCAGGCCTGTTGTGCTGTGAGGCGTCTGCCCACGTCACCGCCACCAAGTCCCGGACGGAGTGAACCCCCCAAGATGGGAAGAGGAGAGCCTGTCCAGACTCCCTGCGCATCTCGCGCACCAGCTTGTTGACCTTGTGGAGGCTTTCGATCGTGCCGCCATTGATCTCGCTCAACAGAACTGGGGAGCACTCTGAGTGGCTCGCCAGCTTATGGTTCCCAAGGCAGCCCGCGTTGCTGAGATCTCTGTGGCACTCAAGGGTGTCTTGTGGGCCTTGTTCTTGTCAAACTCCACCTCCTCGATCCATTGGAGCGTGTAGGAGTGCTGGTCCAGGGTGATGGACTTGTCCATCGCCTGCTTGATGGTGGTTCCTGCGAAGGTGATTTCATGCTCCTCCCACTTGCCCCATCGGAAGGCCTTAGCCAGTTCTTCTTCACGACTCTTGTAGTACTCAGAGGTTGGTGATCCGGAGATCAGGAAGTCATGCATTGTTGTCCGACCGCCTCAGCATCTTGGCTCAACGACTCCAACGACTTCGTGAAGCCCCTTCATCTACCAGAGATGAAATCATGCCCCCCGGCGACAGACCTCGATCCACGCCATGTGGGCTGGCCATGTCACGGAGAACATTTGCCGGGGAAGGAGCGGTCCAACAAGACCGCCATGTGGCAAGCGTGCAGTCGGTGCGGTCTGCGCCTACGCTATGTCACGAAGGGCAGTGGTCATGGCGAGACCCGGGCCATTGGTCCCCCTCCAGAGCATGTCGAACTGGCTCAGGAGGAATTGAAGGAGGAGTTCACCTCCATGACGGTCACGGAGAAGATTTTCAACGGCAAGCTGATGGAGCTACGTGGCCGCGCCATGATGAAGTCCGGGACGGTCCGCTCGACAGTGCAGGTGCGAGCCAACGAGAAGCTAGGCGAGGCCTTGATGGCGGGAGCATCATGCTCGGGCTCAACGGTGAAGAAGACGGAGACGACAAGGAGCCCATCGCCCCCAAAGGCCAAGAACAAGGAGAAGACCAACCCCGTGAAGGAGGACATCCGCCTGCTCTCGGAAGCGCGTGCATCGACGGACATGAAGGGCTATCCGGGCAAGATGAACCGGGCCATGAGCATCGCCTCGGAGGAGTCGGTGGAGGTGATCAAGGACACTCCCGAGAAGAAGAAGAACACCAAGAACGAGGTGACCAGTCCCGACCAGGCCGAGTGATGGCCTTGTGGAATGCCCTGAAGGGACTTCAGAGTCGGATGTGGAAGAAGGAGGAAGAGTCATGCCTAGACCGGCTGGAGGCTGGACCTGGTGACGCCGTCACTACATCTTTGAGCCCAACACGACAACCTTCACCTATGGATCCTATGGATCACCCTACACGCACGACGAGCACTACGATGGAGCCTAGCTCTGCAAGTTTTCCGAGCCCTACGCCATTGAGGAGCTCTATGTCTCACGAAGCTGAATTCTCCGGCCCTTTTGAGAAGGCGATCTATGAGGTGACCAACGTGACCGAGAAGACGGTGCGACCTTCCTTGGCCCGTCGACTCGCAGCTGCGGCAGTGATGACGACAACTCTGCTGCAACCTATGGGAGAACTGTTGGCTGCTGTATCACCTCAGGTGGACATCATGGAGATTGCCTGTGCCAAGGAATCGACCTTGACTACGGTCTTCGAGGAGCAAGGGTTCAGTGGCAAGAGGATCAACTACCTCTCTGGCTACGACCTTGACACCCGCATCGGCACGAGCAAGCTGGCCGAGGACATCAAGGAGACGGTCCCGAGACTGGCATGGGTCTCAATGGCCTGCGCCCGTCTCTCGGCACTTCAAAACCTGACACCAAGGACTCCGGAGCAAATGGACAGGTTCTTCAAACGTCGAGGCCGAGACTTGAAGCGCTGTGATGAGATTGCTGAATCTCTGGAGCCAGTGCTGGCAGCTGGCAACGATTTTGCCTGGGAATGGCCTACAACGGCCGTGGCCTGTTGGAAGTCCAAGGCTATCAAGAGACTTCTGGCCTTGATGAAGCGCTATGGTCGAACAGCGTACTGGATTCGAGTGGATGGATGCGCATATGGTCTTGAATGGCGAGGTGTACCTCTTCGGAAGGCATGGACCATCCTCACAAGCAGCCGGGAGATGTGGCTAGCGGTCAACAAAAGATGCGATCGAAGCCACGAACATGCAGTATGCCGAGGAGAAGCTGCTCAATCTTCAGCCTACTACCCGAGGAAGCTATGCCAGGAAGTCTGCAAGGCAATGGCACACCATTGGAGGCATCAGTCACATTCTGTGGAGAGAGATGTGGAAACCTACTTGCTGTCTGTTGAGAAGCCCACGGACATCTATGACGTGACTTCGACCTCCGACTACCAGCGACTACATCCTGGACGGTGTGACCACGAAGTGCTGGCGCTGAGTCGAAAGAAGCTGGACTTGGAGACGGCGCCGACAGGCCGTAAGTTGGAGCAGGTGAAACAGCTGATGCTACGTGTCCATCGTGCCAGCGGACATGCCGGAATGTCCAACCTGGTTCAACTTCTACAGGCCCGAGGAGCACCTGGATGGGCGTTGGAGCTAGCGGGCAAGCTGAAGTGCCCAGAATGTGAAGAAGCGGCAAAACCAAGGCCGCAACCACCCGCTTCGACCGGTGAGGACCCCAAGATCTATGAGATCCTCGGGACTGACGTCTTTGAATATGAGGACGAAGAGAAGCAGGTGAAACATAAGCTCATCATTTGGAGAGACAGAGGCTCATCTTTGACGATGATCGACCACCTCATGGAGTACACTGGTGCCTGGGAACCACGCACGGAAAATATCATCCAGTCGCTGAGCAAATGGCTGATGACATACCCTCAGCCAAAGTGGCTTCTGGCAGATGCTGCTCGGTACTACTCCAGCTCGGAGATGATGAACTTCCTGAACCGCTCTGGCATCGGTCTGACGATTGCACCGGCAGAAGCGCACTGGATCATGGGACACGAGGAGTCGGCAATCAACCTGGCGAAGAAGACTGTTGACCGTCTTCGACGAGAAGGTTCCAAGCTGCAAGTTCCTGAACTTTTCAAGATGGTAGCGGCAGCAATGAACTCTCATGTCGGACCCAATGGCTACAGTGCTTTTCAGTGGGCATTTGGTTCGGGTGGCAGTGTGCTGGATGACGAGCAGCTGGTTCAGGGCATAGCACCAAAGAGAGCTTTTGACGGCCTGATGAAGGAGCGAGAGAAGGCACGGATCGCATGCGAGCGAGAACGGGCTGGCGAGCGATTCTGCAACTGGACGCCACACTGGAAGGGACAGCGATCTATCGCACTCCCATCTCAGTTGAGTCTCTCACGCGGACCTTCCAAGGCCGGTACTACCTCGACGTGGCCGGTGACGTTCCTTCTGAAGATCGACAACGATCCAATCTGGCCCCAACGACAGTCATGGCTGAACCAGCCAGTGGACAGGGCAGTGACTCATGGTCACTACATCAAGAAGGTGCTCAACGAGTTCTTGTACGGCATCATGGACTGCCGAGGCTTGCACTGTTCAATCCTGCACGAGCAGCAAATTGCCCAGCTTTACTTGATGACTTGACTGGCAGGAGGACTACAATTATCAAACCAGTTCATGGTGGAGACCCAGTCACGATTGAGGACACCATCGACATCCAACGAACACTTCAAGATCGATGGACTGGTGAAACTCGCTTCGAGCTGAAGACAACTTCGAGCTCATCCTCTTCGAGAGCCAGGAAACGGAAGAGCGAGGCAAGTGAACAACAAGCCCCTGAAGCTGATCCTGGAGGAGAACAAGATGAAGTACCAGGTCAGGGACAAGATGAAGTACCAGAACCTGGCGACGCTAGCTCAGAAGCTCCAGGTACTTTGACGGAAGCACTTCAAAAGAGAGGAGCTGATGCAGTGGATGCCACGCCTCTACGAGGCGAATCAGGAGCCAATCGGTGCCCAGTACCTGAATGTGATCTTCCTGGAGGACACGCCGGGCACCATCAGGACCGAGACGGTCGAACCTTCATGTACGACCTGTATGAAGGTCGGAGGGCTCCGACATCGGGAGAGAAGGAGGCGGACATCTCTTCATCATCCTCGAGCTCTTCATCCCAAAGATCGAGATCGGCAAGTTCAGAAGAGCTAGCAGTGGAAGAACCTGGTTCGAAGAAGCCGACACGAGAAGACAGATCAAGATCGCCACGGTCAAGAAAGAAAGATGAAGAGGACACTTTCTTGGTCTTCAACCTGGAGGTGGACGAGGACTTCGACTGGCTGGCGAAGAACCGACATCGGAAGAGGGCAGCAGTCTGGCTGAGCAAGAAGATGTCTGCAGAAGGTCAAGAGGTGATCTGGCAGCGACTTCCCTTGAAAGAGAAACAAGAGTATGACCTGGCCATGGCCAAGGAGATCAGCCAGGTAGCCATCAGTCGGGCGCTGCGGAACCTCACGGACCAGGAGGCGAAGGAGCTGGATCCTGCGACGCTGATGCGAATGCGGTGGGTGCTCACCCGCAAGCAGGATGGAATGGCCAAGGCTCGCCTTGTCGTACTTGGCTTCATGGCGCACAATTTGACTGAAGTCCAAACCACTTCTCCAACTATGAGCAAGGTGGGGCGCAATGTTCTTCTTGCGGTCACTGCAGGAATGAGGTTCCATCTTCGCAGTGGGGACGTGACGTCCGCTTTCTTGCAGACTGGCGCGAGCTTGGAGGACGAGAACCTAACTGTCTTGGCTCCACCGGAGCTCGCCGCAATGTTTGGTGCGGCACCTGGAGATCAAAGAGCTCTACGGGTGCGAGAAGCTTTCTATGGACTCGCACATGCTCCAAGGAAGTGGTGGGAGAAATGTGTTGCCACGATGGTTGGACAAGGTTGGATGCAGTTGCTTGGCGACAAATGCCTCTTCGCTTTGTTCGAGGCAGACCCAGTCGAGGCGAACAAGAAGATCCTGGTTGGCCTAGCTGGAATCATCATGAAAACGCTCAAGCCATCGCAAACAACAGCTGACTGGCAATCTTCATGTGACTGAACGTCGTGAAATGTGAGATGGTTCGAATCATGTGCCATGGGTGCAACTGCATGATGTTCTTCAACTGACATCTCAACCGACTCGGCATGCGAAACTGACTCAAGCTCCAAATCATTGATGATGGTTCCCTTGTTGATCAACACATCGAAGCGACAGGCAGCAGGCACAGCAGGATATTCCCTCTTGTCTTCGGGATTCGGTGTGTCTGCCTCATTGGCCTTCTCGACTTCCGCAGTTGGGGAAGGAGGTACATTCGGAGAATGGGACACGTTGGAATTGATGTCCATTGGCATCCCAGGCTCATCAGGCGGAAACATCTGATGAGGCTCACCAGAAGTTGCAGCTCTATTGGCGTGCTCAGTCGTCGCCTGCAGCAAGTTGCGGGTGACAAAGGGTCCCCGGTGCCTCTTCGCACCCCTGCTGTTTCCCTTGCCGCCTCCATCATCTGGGCCGCCATCGTCGTCATCGACGTCATCATCATCCCCTCTTGGCCACCGGGTGCTTGGGTAGCCGTTGAACCTCTGCAGCAGGAACTGGATGGGAACAGGTTGCTCCATGAGGTCAAGCCACAAGTGTCCTCCTGTCTGCGAACTCGCCAAGGAGGAAGTCATCCACTGTCCTGTCACGTTTCTGTGTGCCATGTAGTCGCCACGGTAGGAGATGATCGCCTTCCGGCTCCTCAGATCTCGGGCACCGAGCAGCAAAGGGGTTCTCTCAGCGCTGCCATCAAGCAGGAAGAAGGTCACCTTCCCGATGGCCGGCGTGTACAAGTAGATCTTGGAAACTGCTCGCTGGTTCTCACCATTCCCGAAGCGGAACCGTGGCCTGTCCTCCAGCTGGATGTGGTAGAGCATCGGGCATGAGTCCAGAACACGAGCCATAGACTCCACGCCCGCCACAGACTCAGTCGCACCAGTATCCAGCACTGCCTTCGCGACTCCTTGGGCATACAGCTCCTCATTCTCAAAGAGGCTCAACACGTTGATGTCGTGGGTGTAGTCCATGCCATAGCCGAAGTCCATCATGTAGACCTTGCCGCCTTTCTTTCCTTTCTTCCCTTTCCCCTTGGATCGTCCAGATCCCTTGCTGCCGTTGAAGGATGACCCCTTCGAACTCGGCGATGACATAGGTGAAGACTTTCCACCTCGCGACCATCGATCTGGACACTTCTGATATCCATGGCCCTGCTGACCACAGATGAAGCAGGGGCCGAACGATGAAGAGCCCTTGCTCTTTCCTCCTGAGGTCTTGCCTTTGCCTTTAGCAGTGCCCTTGTGACCCGCAGTGTCGTAGTAGCCCCTTGCGGCTCGCACGCGAGCCACCGCTTGCTTGGCTTCGGCCAAGGTCTTGTTCGCCTCAGTTGCCAAGGCATAGGCCTCTTCCAGCCGCTGCTCCTCCTCCAAGGGTTGCTCAGCTGTCTGTCCAGCCAAGTCATTCTCAGGCGTCTCGCCGTAGAGGTCCTCAGTCTGGTAGTCCATGTTCTCATAGTCCTCCCAAGAATCAGTGCCCGGCCAGTCCGACCAGTAGGCCTCCGCAGCTGGCCATTCCTCGTCCCACCATTCATCATCCCAGTTGTTCTCCTCGTAGGGCTCCTCGAACCAGATGGTCTTCCGAGGTCGGGGATGATCTTCCACTCCATCTGTCTCCGCAAAGAGAGACCTCAGAGCTTGGCGGATGAGAGTGAAGTGGGCGCTGTTCTTGGTGAGGGTCAGCACATGTTGGCGTTCAGCCGCCGTGAGCTTGGAGGCTTTCAAAAGCCTATAGCCGCGGAGCTCATTCTCGAAGAAGCCGGTGTTGTCCATTCCTGAAATCGTTGGGGCCTCTTCGAACGTCGGCTCTGTTGACTCTTCTTCAACCATCCGGCCACCCTTGCCACCTGCCACGTTCGGAGATCGTGTAGGTGACGCGGCAGGGTCGTGCTCACTAGCGCCAACTGCCATAGACCTCATCTCAGCCTTCCGCCTCTCATGCCTCGCTCGCTTCAAGGCCTGCTGGAGCTCCAGGAAGAGTTCTTCTTCACGGACAAGAAGTTGTGGAATGGACTCGGATGAAGTGCGCCTCATCCCCGTCCATCGCTCCAGCCTGGCGAAGCTGTCAGGCACCGGCAGCTTCTGCAGAGGGCTTTCCCTAAGGACCGTCAGGAGTTTCTGAAGGCCTGACTCCGTTGCAAAGTCCTTGGGATCTAGGTGCTTGACCACGCTCTTTGCAGCGCCAGCCAGCCTCTGCCAGATCCTCGGGGCCGCCAGCTTCTTCTCGTTGTCCTTGAGCGAGCATTCGTACCACCTGCAGCTGGTGGCGAAGTTCTCAAAGCTCGCGGGGTCCCCGTCCCATGCGGGAACATCCTCTTGAGGCATCGCCGCCACCTGGTCCGTCAGGATCTCCAGGATGAAGCTCCGCCTACCATGCAATGCGCTCACCGCAGCGCAACAAAGCGTCCACCTACGGACAAAAAGGGCACTATGCCTTTCTCACCTGCCGGCTCGAGCCCCGCCCTTGCGGAGAGTACACAGCTATGTGCACAACCGCCATGCTTGCAAATATCAAACATGCGCTGCGGTACAAATATTGCATACAGTTCAACATTGCGTGTTCTGGAATTGCAGGTGAAAATGTGTATGTGTGTATGTTTTTTTTTATAGTGATAAACCACATTGCTTCCTGCAAGAAAACCTGACTGGTTGGCAATATTGGAGGAACTGATTTGTTTGTAACCATGAAACACGAGTATATGCAGTTGTCCAACACAAATAGAATACGACAGACCATCTCTAGAGGCAGCATGCATTTCATAACTTGCTTCATACATGATGCTTTGGCACATGTATTCAATCTTTGGTACAAACATCCCAGCTGAGAACAACGCAATTAAGCTGGATCCAGGTTCCAGTTCTGGGGTTGCAGGTTTCCAGAGTTCCACGTTCCAGAACTCCCGGGTCCAAAGTTCCACACATCCAGGGTTCCAGGGTTCCAGGATTCCATTCCTGGTTTGGGGCATGGACAAACCATGCACCTGGAGTTAAACCTGCAACAGTCCCTGCTGTTGGGAATCGTACAGGTGGCACAAATAGAGAAGAGAGAGAGAGGGAGAGAGAGAGAGAGCGAGCGCGCGAGCGCCCAAAAGTACTTGCAATGAAAAGTTTAAAGGAGAAGGAACCAACCGTGCTATATCCAAAGGTCAGAAAGAAGGAGACTCAGACTGCTCAACAGCCTGCTAGAAACGTTAGAAACCAAACGGCAAAGTTGGTGCCACAGACGTCCTATAGGGCTTATGTCAGTCCTAAGGCTCCAGCGAAAACTGCATTGGGCTGAGAGAAGCCGAAGAAGCTGAATCCCTCTTCAACGCGGTGCAGTTTGCCTCAGATTGAATGATTGTCAGCCCCTTCTTGAAGTCTTGTATTCAACAAGCGCACACTGGCTCTGGTTCTGAGAACCTTGCCTTGCCACTGCATTGTTTTGTTCTTGAATTTCTCGTTGAAGGCCACAGTGACCTCAGACTTCCAGAACCTACCCAAGAAACTGCACCAAGGTTCCAGCTTCTGCAAGCATTTTGTTGCTCAAAGCAATTGCCAAGCCGCATGTATGGGATTTCCCAGGTACGTCTTGTACCCACAATCCTTTAGGAAGTCCTGATGCGGCAGGATAAGTAGGAGCAAGGATGCTACTAGGGGCTCCTGGCATCGCTACTACTAGGGGCTCCTGGCCGTACTACCAGGAACAAGAAGCTACAAGCAGCAAAGGGCATCGCTACTACAGAGCATGGTTGATGCTGGCAATCACATCTCTTCTTTCTCTACAAGGCGTCGCTGTTGTTACTCTCCCGTTCGCATGCCATGGTACATGCACATGCTGCAGTGGCGCGGCACGTACTTGTGCATTTGTGTCTTTCGACAAGAAGGCAAAACTCTGAGATCTTCAGTCCTCCCATCCTGGCAAGAAGCAAACAGTTGTGGAGCCCTAGACACAACTCTGACAAGCCCTTCTTTGCTTGGATGTCTTATTTCCTTTTCCGACAAAGTGAACAATGTCCATCAAACTATCAAAGGTCTCAAGCTAGACAAAGATAAGATAGTCGCAGCAACTCAAATCATTCTGAAGCCAACTGGAAGGATGCAATCACCGTTGTGCAAATCCCAGGTAACTTAGAGCCAGGAGCACGTAAATCGACCACTTCACTTTGCACTGCCGCATCGATTCCAGTAGCCTTGAATGTTGGAAGGAATGATCCATGGCAAGAGACCCAAGCTAGATTTGCAGAGCTTCAGGCTCTTCAAACTGTCCATAGGTTCCTAGACACGAAGACCTTTCCAGTGTTAAGTGTGCGCCGTTCGACGGCTGAAAGCAAGGAGTGTCAGGACGAAGTGCTGCTTGTCATGGTCTGTGTCTATCTGTGTTTACCTGTGTCTTCCTTGTGGTTTGTCCTGAGAACAAGGCAGGTGCGCCACCTCTCCTCATATATAGACTCTGAGAGGCAAACAAAGGCAAACTCTTCATTCTTGACATTTCAGCAGCAAAGTCTAAGAGGGCCAAAAGGATGCACAGTGTCCTCACCCAATGTATGCCGCCGATGAGAGAGGTCATCGCCAGCAATGCGAAGACATACTGAAACAAAGCAATGCCCATACAAACTGCAAATGCCAAAAACTGAAGAAAAACATGTCTTTGAAGAGCGAAGGAAGCGCGAAAAGATTCAAGCCAAACGCCTTTCGAGCAAGCACGCACGCACAACTCCCAACGCGGAAGGACATGACCTGACAAAACCAAAACTCACCAAGCTGAACTCTGCACTGTCTCAGATTAGAAGCACGGAGGAGAGCTCGTGAAAGTCCAGGCTTCTTGGCTTCATGACATTTGTAGAGCTTCAAGAATGAGCACAGTTTTGCCAAGTACGCCATCGAACCTCATCACTGATCTTTGGCAGCATCACGCGTGAGCGAGTTGCTAGCACGCGGAGGCAGCGTGGACAATGATGCACCACGTCCTGTAAAGGTTTGTAGTTGTCTACATTGAAAGGCGTCAATTCCTGACCTTCACATGCGTCTCATGACTGGTCAAGAGTGTATGCAAATACAGTAATGCAAGCTGCAAAAGATATCCCTTTGAGTATGTGTGACCTCCCTTCTGCTGATTCATCCACTAGCTATATATAGTGAAGGCAATGTTGCGTTCAAAATGATAATCAGGGCAGGCTTCCTTGAAAAGCGGGTAGACTAGGGGCACTATGCAAATCGCTGCCTGTCTTTTCCACAACTGCAATCTTGGTGTCAAACAGTGGCCAAGACATGGTCCTATGTGTAAGAATGCAGAACTGCCTGCCCCAACTAAAGCATTTGAGAATGAGACAATGTGATCGGATGCCAGATTTACGGCAAGATCTCATTGAACATTCGGCAAGGCTAAACGGGACAGAACCACCCAATTGAGCACCAAAAACAACACCTCAGGCACCGGAATGGAGCAGCTGAGCTAGATAGCTGAGCTATCTCTGAGCTATCCACAATACAAACCGCCAAGGTGACCCAGCTGCTCTCATGCTCAATGAAGGTGATGATCTGCACTCCTTGGGCGTTTCTAAAGTGAAGAGGACAACGAATATCACAGATTCAAATTGAGTCGTATTCGAAGCATGATTCCTCAGGAAGAAACGACAGTGAGGACATGCCACCTTCACCGGCGTTTGATCGAACACAGGATCGTCTTCAGCCTAGCACATCTATCAACACAAAGCCTCCGCAAAGCTTAAAAGTTAAAGCTTCGACGCAGCAACAAGTGCAAAAAGATTTGCAGCCTCCTGACTCTGGCTTGGTGCGTTGTCGTCCTGCCGGGTCTTTTGGACTCATGACAGCTGAACAAACAACACGTGTTCTGCTTCACCACTGGTTGATAAGACCAAATTACTCTGCAAAGTCCATGCTGATTGAAGCTTATCAACCCTATCTTTTCCAAATGTTTTACTGTAATGTAATGAAATATTAGAGTAATCATTGAAACAAAAAATACAAAAAAGAAAACACACACACAAAAAAAAAAATGATCTACAAATGAAAAAGAAACTCTACGTACAATTGTCACACAGGTGCTTGGGGAGGTCGCTGTTGAAGCTGAACTGCTAAGTCCATTTCGTCTTCTTTGACAATTTGATATCTTGGTGGTGTTTCGCCGCCGGTGGTCCTTCTTGTCTCGCGGAACCAAATAGGACATGGCCCTCTATCCGCGTGTTGGGCCGAATAGTTGTATGCGCATTCATCCGATTCTAGATGACTCTCGTTGTTGAAAAATCAAACCAACATCCAAGCATCATATTGATGTAAAAATCTTCAACTTGCCAGCTAAGGAAGCATGTTCTTTGCCTCCAACTCAGAGATTTCAATGTGCAATGTAAGATGATTTTTTGACTTTGAACCATTCCAGCTGCTGAATCAACATCAACCTGCATGCGAAAGGATGAAAAGCTGGCAATCCAAGCACAATTGTTTGTCCATCCTGAAGCTTGGTCTCTTGCTGCGCCTGATCAAGTGGGCACTCACGATACTTGGGAAGGCACGTTAGGAAACAACCTGGCAATGGGACTAAACAAAAGTGCTGTAACCAACAAGACTTTTCTCCATCCGAAAGCCATGGCTAGGTGACAAGGTCGCTCCTCCGTCTGTGGTGATTCACTTCTTCTTGCCGCCCTTGTCGTCACCCTCGCC